GATGGTTGGACTGGATGACCTTAAAGGTCTTTTCCAACCTATGCGATTCTATGATTCTATGAATTGTATTTGTACTTTTTCTGAGAAGATTCTACGATTCTAAGATGCTTCAGAAATCTACATTTTTCCTCCTATAAGAAAAATGCTACCTGTCCATCTCTGTCTAAGAGCCTCAGTGGAATTTAACAAAGTACAGGATTCCATACATGACTGCCTCCCAAAGAAACCTCAAAAAAAATCATCTACTAACAAGACTAACACTTACCTTGTATAAAAACCCCGCCTATCATAACTGGAATCAGCTTACAGCACTTGAAGATGACTTGAGTAGGGTAATTCAGATATCCTAAAGAGGTATTTGACAAACCCATAGTTCCCACTGTTAAAAACGCTATTATCATGTAGGTTTTCCCAGGAATTCTACAAAATAGAAACATATGAATCCTGGTATTACAAACTCATCTAGAGGAGATTGAGCTTGGAAAATTTAGATAAAGGAGTATGTTTGTAATACAACTTCACCGTCTTTCTCACAGAATTTCATTCCGTAACAGAAATTTAAAAATGCACATAAATGACTGATTTCACATTTCATTTCTTTCAATTACTGCTAATAAACAGCGTTCAAATACAAGACAATAAAAACTTCATGGCTCATGAAGTATTCAAGCAGTAATTCTTTAACCTCCTTCTGAGAAGGTATATTATTTACAGAATAATGAAGACAGGCTTCAGGTTATTTGTCAAAGGAAACACAGAAGGTTAGTATACCAAGATATCCTGAATCTTAGTCCTGCCACGGTCACCGTGTCAATTTTTTTGGTGACGTTTTCACATGAACATTGACATTTTTAGGATTAAGAAAGTTGAAAAAAGTACCATTGTTTTATAAAACTCAACAGTACTAAGACAGAGTGATTCAGATACCATCAATGGAGGGGCTCGTCGAACATTTTCAGATGTATTGTTTGCAATTTGATGAAATTATCACCTGACAACAGATGATCCAACAGTAATCTTTAGCAATCACTGTACTCACTTTGTGATTTTCTACAGTTAGTTGTGCGTATGTTCAGCTATTTTTTATGCATACTCAGAGCCACATTAAGCAACACAAGGTCTTGCTGTAACCCTGTCTTATCCATAACTCATTAGGTGATGTAGGCATACTCTGAGGCATGCAACAAAAATTTAGAATTTAAGAATCAGAGAAACCTGCATAAAAAGTAGGAAACATTTTTTTTTTAATGTCTACAAGAAGATGCCCAGGTTATAGAAAATAAAATGTAAAATATATTTAAGATCTGCATTTCCAGCATAACTTACAGGGTCATGCTTAAGCATCAGCAACTATTTGGTAATCAAAACCTAAATATTAGTTACAGAACACCCAAAAAGGTAACTACACAATATTATCTGATGCATCTCAAAAAGTCAGATAACTTGAACTATAAACTGTCAATGTTTAAAATAAAAAGAATAACTTATCAAAGTTGCATTGTTTAGCTATAAAAGAATTCTATTACCTAAAATCAGTATACGCAAAATCAGCCAAGGTTGACTACAGGTAACGAAAAGTAGTTATGCTCAACCAGGATATAATGCTTTAAAGCAATTTTAAAATTCATGTACACCACAGCAGCCTCTATCCAAGCTTCCAGAGGGCCTCAATATACAGTTTGCAGAGGCTGTAGTTGGGCAGGAAGCCGTAAAATGGCCGCACTGAGTTAGATCAAACTATCCCATATCCATAGGATTCAAGACAGCAAGAATCTCCTTGGTCAACTGCAGTGAAAACACAGAACAATTTTGTGGCAGGGTGTTATGAGTGCTATCTGAAATGAAAAATACAAAACCTAAGTACATCCTTTGAAGCAAACCTACACAGCCACATGGCAGACTGCAGACCTCTGACACTCTCCAAGATGCACAGAATGTTAGAGGAACCTCTTGGTGAGGAGGTGCCAAGGTTTGAGGAAAAGGTATTCAGTGAGACACGGCTTCAAGTGCTCTGAAGTACAGTTGGCCCTATTCTAGATGTGATAATGCCAAGCAACTCATACATGAGTGAGTCTGTATCAGCTACCTTGACGACAGAATATGCTCTGTAAGTGGGACAAAGTGATAGTAGAGTCAACAAGACTACTTACAGGTCTGAAATCTAAGAGAGTACTTATAAAACATTTCCTAACATCGTCCAGTAAATTCATGTTATTTTAACTATGGAACTGCTACCAATGCCTCACAGTATTCACATTCAAACAACAGAAGTTAAATTTATGATAAATATCAAATGCTTCTAATTTGATGGACAGAGGGTAAAATGCTTGGAAAAACACATACCTTCTCCTTTTGTCCTGAATCAACTGCAATTCTATTAGTCCAAACATGGAATAAAATCCAAATTGCACTAAAGTGAGGTACCAACCAAAAGGTTTAAAACCTTCCACTGAAAATATCAATTCCTATAAAAACAAAAACCCACCAAGGTCACATACATACATTGAAATATTAAATCAAAACAAAATCAACAGATTTTTTTTTTTCTTCATGTACATGCAAATTCAGCCTTTGCAGCTGCTGGTTATTAACTAGAATTTACATGCCATACATAACCTGCAAAGTATTGAAAAAGACAATTTAGGTTCTCCAAAATGCAATGAGAAAATTTACTGCTGGTGTAAATCCACTAAAATTAATGGATCAATTCATCAGGGGAATACATTTGATCCATTAACATTTATCTCAAATTATAGATGGTTTCCTGTCTGCTTTTCAGTTGGTTTTCAGTTCATTTACTTCAGTACACTGCTTTTATCCAGAATTTATAAATAGCTCACAATAAATTAAACACAAACTTTCTCTATCAGACATATTTACTGGTAATTTTCATTTCTTAGGAATGTGCACCTAATATTTTGAGTCCCTACATTAAATAGAACTTGTGAATTTATAAATTTGCAGGTTGTAGGAACATTTAAAACCAGAACAATTTGTTATAGAAGAATACACACACTACATAAAGAATTATGTAGGCTTGTCAGTTACAGAAACAAAAGGCTACCTAATATTTTCCTTTTTGAGATTCTGCTTTCAATTACCGATAACTTTGTCTAACTCTTTGGAAGTAACTTTAACGAACTTCTCAGCTGTTTTTGAAAACTGCATTGGAAACATGGTGATTTTTAATTATCAACTTTTTAAATCACTACTTTATTGAGAAAACTCATTGAACTTAAAAAAAAAAGGAACAGAAATGTAGCTCTCAAGATAAAAGAGCAAAGGTTATCAGGAAATGTTTAACTAAAATGGCAAAAACATTATGCTTCTGCTTAACAAACAACCATAGTACACGTTTCGGCTCTTTCCTGAAGGTAGAGCAGAGAGAACAGTAGACTACTATTAGTATCCAGCACTCATGGAACTCAAGGAGATCTAAAGGTTTCACGTTTAAAAGATACACATACAAAACAATATTCAAAGTCCAACTGAACCAAACCTTGTAGGCACATGAACTGTAACGGAATCTGACGTTATACAATTACTTACTGCTCTTGAATTCTGAAAGCTTGACTTTGCAATCAATATCCATTTTAAATGCCTATATGTATTAAAATACATACTATATTATTATGCTATGAAAAAAAAAAAGGGGTAGGAGGAATTGGCCTAAGACACAAGTTCATAGCATTTACCTGTAAATATCCATAGATGAGATAAAACATAAAAACTCCAGAAACACAGATGAAAAATTGAGTAGGTTTGTTAAATTTGCTGAGATTCATGCCAAGAACTATAACATCATCTACTGATTTGATATGAGGAGACATAGTTTGAGATTTGGAAGGCACACTGATGGAAATGTATTTTCTTGATGAAGTGAATTTCAGATCCATGATTCCTAGTTCGCTGCATTCAGTGCTATTGTTATCTTCTTTCTGCTCCTGTGTGTGTCCTGTGTCTAAAAGCTGAAAGAAATGCTAATGTCAGATAAGACATAACATACAGCCTTCCAACAATACCAGTAAACAAATGTGACATTTATATGAAAATATAAAGTTTTAAGAGTTTTGTTGGGTTGTTTTTATTCACAAATTTTATCTTTTCTGATATCCAAAGTTAACATCAGGTAATATCAGAGGCCAACACCACTTTATGAAAGCACTTTTGCTTCATGTGCAAAGTAGTATTCCTACACTCTACAAAAACAAACCAACCAACCAACCCCAAAACACCAGCAGTAGAAAGCCAGCTTCAGTTTCACAAGAGCTCAAACTAGCCCTTTTATGCCAGTACTCAGGAGTGACTGCTTGGGAGAGAAGTGATCCTCAGGATCACATCACAATGAAAGAACTGGTATTGAAGCACTGTGGTTCTGTCTACTTTACTTCATTTTCACAGCAAAATATACCAGACTAGTCCACTACATGGGAAGCCTTGCTAAAAACTACAGATTTGAGCCTATGATTGGTTACAAGTGTTGAATTGGAAGAAGTTATCCCCTTATTCTCACATTTATTCACTATTTCTCACACACTTCTGAGGAAAATAACATGAAGATGGAAACAAGAAGATTAAGAAGCCAATCTCAGACATTAGATTCGTTATCTGATGAGGTCTATGGTATGAAAATTCCTTTAATATTAACCACTTGCAGTCATTTCCACATGTAATAGCAAACAAAATTGGATAACTGAAGCCTGGAGAAGGAATTTAGCAGCCTAATAGATCGGCAGGCAAATAATTCTTTTCTCCGGCTCAGCAGAGAGTATGATGTTTGAGTTTGGTTTTTGGGGTTTTTTTTTTTTCTTTTCAGCCTCAAGATAAACACACTGGTCAGTCAGTCATCCCAAGACGACTTGGGTAGTAAGTAGAGTGTAGGTCAGCATCTAGTTCAGTGAGCAGTCAGTAATTAAATTCTGTTTGTCTCAACTATTTAGTGGTTTGTTTTCCCCAGCTCAAAAATGCTTCTTCTCATTACACATGTATGAAAATGCTTTTCCCACTGTTTTTAAACGGAAAATGTGCTAGTATATAACAGGTAGATCATGCAATAAATGTAGTAAATGTAACCTGCATGGACATTGGGAATTTATTATACAATATAAAAAATGACAAGTTTAGCTGAAAAATTAAGGATTAGTATAAAACTTGCAATGTGGTTATGTTTCCTTTTTTGATACAACCTACTACCAGGTTGGAACAAGATTCCTATTAAAGTTCTGAAAGAATAGCATGGGGACTATAACAGGAGTTTAGGAACTATAATAATTATTTGTGTTTAAATTCAGAGCTCTTCAGCTGATAACCAAAAGCAAGAGGTAGAGATTTTACCCTTGTGGATTGTTAGCTAATCCCAAAAATAAGGTGGCCATGAAAAATGGAAAAAGAAAAAATTTAAGTAGACTTCTCAGTAAAAACAGGAAAGTACCAATGCCATACAATGAGACACTAGTGAGCCTTCACGTAAAATATCATGCAGAGTTCTGATCACCCTCAAAGACAGATTCAAAGAACAACTGCAAAAAAGGTTATCAGGGTGAACAGATTGCCCATCTTATGAAATAAGATGAAAGTGTAACTTGTCTAGCTTAGCAAAACCCCGACGAAAAGAAAATAGACTTGCTTTCATTAAAAGTATCACAGGGATTACCACTAAGAAGGAAAAATAATTCTAATTTTAAGGACAATAGCATGAGAGCAAATGGGCATGAAGTGATCATGAACAAACTTTACTAGAACCTACCTTTTTATCCCTAGACTATCTGTATTCTAGAGCAGCCTAAAAATGAAAGGAGGAACAACTGAACTGTTTTTAACGTGAAGTTTATGAAAGCAATTATGCAGAGCTGTTAAGACTGGGCATGATGACCTAGCAGTCCCCTTTAGTCCTGTGTTTATAGCATTCCACCACTATGGAAAGCAGAGTAAAGGCGCCTGTAGAAGATACTTGGTGATCCTTACTTGGTCACTAAACTAGGATATGAATTACTACTCTCCCCAGAAGAATTGCATGCAAAGTTAGGACTCCCAAGTTCAAGCCCAAGGAGCAAATCACCACAAAGGAAAGACAATGTATTTAGAAATCTATCCATTGCTGACATCTTAGCTGAACCTGTATTTTCATTCATGCCTGTTCAGACCTTTCCTGTCCAGTGTACACTTCCTCTTGATAGGCACACAGCATTTGTTAACATCATACTTTCTCAGCAGGAACAAGAGCTGCAGAAGTAATCCGAGCTTCATTTTTTTTACCTAAGCTGAAACACAGAGAATGATGTATGCCCAGCAGAAGACACAGCCATGTACTGTCATGTGTGCTTCAAGAGTTGAAAAATGGAGTGAATTGTATAATGCATAGTTTTGTACCTACATTTTCCACCCTGGCCACTAATTTAGATATTATTTGTGTAATACCTGTGTTAGGCTAGGAAGAAGTAGAGGGAAGAAGAAACAGTAACAAGCATATTTATGTATTGGGTCTGGCTGGGATGAAGTTAATTTTTTCATAGCAGCTTATATGGTGCTGTGTTTTAGATCTGTGACCAAAACAATGCTGATAACACGCTAGTGTTTTAGCTATTGCTGAGCAGAGCTTGCACAGCATCAAGGCCTTTTCTATTTCTCCCTCTGCCCCACCCCAGTGAATACACTGAAGTGCGTGCAAGAGGTTGGGAGGGGGCACAACCAGATAGATGACTCAAACTAACCAGAGATATTCCATGCTATAAAGGGTCATGCTCAGCAATAAAAAGCGAGAGGAGGGTGTTTAGGGAGGTTAGCCATCTTTTGCTCAGGAACTGGCTGGGCATTGGTCTACCTGTGGGGGGAGTGATTGCCTTTACATCACCTGTTTTGTTTTCTGTCTCTTTTTCAACTTTTCCTCCACTTCTTAAACAATTTTTATTGCAACCCGTAAGTTTTCTTGCTTTTACTCTTCCTTTCCTCATCACCCATCCCTCTGGGGATAGAGGAGAAAGCGAGCACGTGGCTGTGTAGTGCTTAGCTGCCTACTGGCGTTAACCCACACCACAACTAACACAATTTTTCTGATTTTCAGCTATTTAAATTCAAAATATTTCCTCGGGAACACCATCAGTTTTTACAATCTGTCCATTTAATTTCTTGCAGACTACTGAGTCTACCACTAAAGTAGTAAGAAACAACACTGACAGCTCTAGTCACACCCAAGGCCATCCATAAGAAGATGATGCATAGTAATTGGTTTTTCTCTATTACGTTCTAAAGGAAACAAACAAAAAAAAAAACATATTCAAGAAACATTTCAAGGAACATTATTTAACAACCAAATAAACTGTAAATGTATGTATCCATTTCAAACACTCTCCACCAAGTAATTTCATTACCAACAGTGACAGAACTCTTCTGAAGTCCACTCAGACTTCTCAAACTGTTATTTTTCTAAGTATCAAATATGCTCTTCATCCTCCTCTCACCAAAATCCCTCAAGCAACTGATTCGCCTTTTGAACAAACACACAGTGAAAATGTTTTATGAAGAGTCAAGTGGCTTAAGAGCTGTTCTATGTGTGTAAAATAGCATATTTTCCCCTTTTTTTTCTCCTGTATGTAAAAATGTAAACATGTTCTTTAGATCAAAGACTTTTTGTTCCTTCCCCTTTGAAAAAAAGTCCCATGCAGAACAAGATTTTAACCTAGCACACAAGTAAAACAGAGTGATTGTTATGTGAAAGAGAAGCAAATGAACAAGTAACTAGAAAAGCAAAATTTCTCTAGCCTCCAAAAAGTTAATGACTTGTACCAAACATGGAAAAAACATTATGAAGGAGCTGGGTTTTTTTATTTAACCCTGGAGAACATCTATTAAAGACATCAGTTTGGCAGAAACTAGCATCTCAGTACTCTCAGAAAAATCGCTCGCATGAGCCACGCAAGGCAAGTTCCACGCTGGCCCTGGCCAAGATCCATTTCCTTTGGAGCCAATTCCACGAATGCCTGGTGGCAGGACAGCAGCCGGCACCATTAACAGGATGCTCCGGGTTACAGAGCCGCAGACGTACATCTGTCGGAAACCCGAGCAGATCCTTCGCTTGGTGAAACCTGGCTCTTGCCCCGGAGGCAAAAGAGGGAAGGGGGACAAGGAGCAGCATGAGCTTTGAAGCTTTCCTCCTGCCCGCTCGCCTGCGCCCAGCCC